GAGAGGAGTGGAACAGGCAGGAGGCAGAACTGAGACCTTTCAGAGTTCTGGCCCAAGCGAGGGGCCATGGGGCTCCCCGCCCCAGATGCCAGAATGTTGTGGGCCGGCCCTGCCCACACCCTCACTCAGCCGGGCAGCGCGGAAGGGGCGGGGGGTTGGACTGGGGATGCCCAGAGTCCTGCAGGGCCGCTGGGACACGGGCGGCGGGTAGGAGGCAGGGGAAGGCAACTTCTTCCCAAACTGCCAGCCTGGCCCTTGCCACACCCCGCCAGTGCATCTCCCTCAATCTCCAGGGGGTGTCTGGCTTCAGCCCAGCCTGGGCTGGGGGAGACTGGCGCCGCGCACCGCCCACGCCTGGGGGAGACTGGGGCTGCGCACCGCCCACACCTGGGGGAGACTGGCGCCGCGCACCGCCCACGCCTGGGGGAGACTGGGGCTGCGCACCGCCCACACCTGGGGGAGACTGGCGCCGCGCACCGCCCACGCCTGGGGGAGACTGGGGCTGCGCACCGCCCACACCTGGGGGAGACTGGCGCCGCGCACCGCCCACGCCTGGGGGAGACTGGGGCTGCGCACCGCCCACACCTGGGGGAGACTGGCGCCGCGCACCGCCCACGCCTGGGGGAGACTGGGGCTGCGCACCGCCCACACCTGGGGGAGACTGGCGCCGCGCACCGCCCACGCCTGGGGGAGACTGGGGCTGCGCACCGCCCACACCTGGGGGAGACTGGCGCCGCGCACCGCCCACGCCTGGGGGAGACTGGGGCTGCGCACCGCCCACACCTGGGGGAGACTGGCGCCGCGCACCGCCCACGCCTGGGGGAGACTGGGGCTGCGCACCGCCCACACCTGGGGGAGACTGGCGCCGCGCACCGCCCACGCCTGGGGGAGACTGGGGCTGCGCACCGCCCACACCTGGGGGAGACTGGCGCCGCGCACCGCCCACGCCTGGGGGAGACTGGGGCTGCGCACCGCCCACACCTGGGGCTCAGGGGCCTCCCGCCAGGTGCCCTCTAGGGAAAGGCTGGGGCCATGTGCTGCCCCCCTGGGCTGGGGAAGTCTGGGGGCTCCTGTCAACCCTCCCCTGTGCTCCCAGGCTGGGGGGAAGTGGTTGCCTGCCCTTGAGAGTGGGGGGCCGCTTAGCTCCCACAGGGCAGCAGGCGTGGGGTGGGGGGCTTGCTCCCCCAGCCCTAGTTCTCCCTCCACCCTGGCTCAGGGGCCTATCCCCCCAGTGGCAGATCTGCCCTGTTTCCGCACATTCCCGCTCTCCCACTGGGTCTGTGGCGGCACAGGTGTGCGGGGGTCTCCCCGGGCGGAGTTTGGCCTTCAGCCCCCCGGGAAGCTGGTCCCTGAGCCTCCCCCTTTGTGGCGGGATCCAGAAGGTGAGTCCCCTGGCATCCCTGGTGTGTGCTTCCCTGGCAAGGTGCAGCAGCATCTGCCCGGCAGCGCGGGCCCCAGCTGGCCTGCTTTCGGCCCCTCACTGGGGGGAGAGGGGGTTGCCAAGGGAGCCCTCAGGGATTTGGAACCCAGAACCTCTCCCAGCCGGTGTGAAAGTCCCCATGGATGTAACGCACCCACAGCAGCATACAACGGCGATTCTCATGCGACATAAGGGGAAACTGAGGCACGGGGTGAGGAAATGACCCGCCCAGCATGGAGCCTAGCCTGCCCCGTTCAACGGAGGTTGCGC